TGATTGTAGTCACGATTGCTTGCTAAATTCACCTTTCCGACGATTGCTTTTTGTTCTACACTGAGAATTGATCCATATTTATTTTATAGAGAGAAATTTATTACTCAATTCAAAACAACAGAAAAAAAAAATGATAGGTCACTATACTCGTTTGCGAGAAAATGACGATTTACTTCTACGGCAAGCTCCAGCTGTGAACAAAAAGCCGCCATTTTTTAATGCGCGCGCGCTAATCACGCGTGAAATTATGCGCAGTAAGGATGCACAATGAGCTTAAAACCACAATTTAAGGTTATTCCTCAGAATTGCATCGCGCATCGCTACTGCGCCCGATTTTCGCGTCATTGGCGCGCACTCACGAGCGCGTGCACAGACACAATATATACAAAATGGTGGCTCCTGGCTTGCGAGAGACAAATCATCGTTGTTTTCTCGAAAACGAGTACCGGGACCTATTGATTTTTTTATTTAGTTTGAGCGCAGAGATCACCTTCTTTCTATACAGTGAATATGGAGCAATTTCTATGGTAGAGTAAAAAATTATCACGGAAAATGAGAGCATAGCTAGCACTCGTGAAAGATAATTTGTTGTCCTAGAATACTGCGTGCTTGGAACATATCGTATCTCTTTCAACTAAATGAGTTTCCTTATCATGAAACGTACATCAAATTGCTCCATAACATTTATGCAATACATCCATTGTTGTATTTCTCGCTTAACGTTCTCTCTATCTTTCTGCTCTCTTAATACGTAAGGTGAATGGTTTAAATCAGAAGAAGAGCGCGCTATGCAGAATTTCCTTATATGGGCAAAAATTAGAAGAGTGATTTTCATTGGTCGGGAATAATCGGCAGCATAATTTAAAACAGATAAGGGAAGTTAAACGCTACTAGGTGAGGTGCTTCTGTTCAAATATAAACGTTTCTGAAAGCGGATAATTTCAGGAATTATGGAGTTAATTGATGGTGCTCCTGCTCCTAAACGAATATGGGGACCCCCCTTTTTTTATTTCAAATTTTAAGTTCTCTTGATGTAAGTAGCCAACAGGCAAAGTTTGAAAGAAAATCTATTGTGAGTTTTATTTCGATGGAATTACCTTAAGG